GTTTTAATCTGACCAAATGGTATGGATGCGTGGGGGGTGTGGGGGGTGTGGGGGGGGGAGGAGGAAGAGAAAGAAGTTCACTGCAGCGCTGTTTCTCCTGTCCTCACCGCTCTCCGTCTGGTAAAGCCAAAGGGCTCTCTTACAGGCAGGCCAGAACCAATTCACACTTCTCCGGGATATGCGTATTCCAATCAGTCCCTCCCAAATTGACGTGGACGAGGTCGGCGTGGCAGGGGTTTGTGGACAAAATTAGTTTGTTAAGACGTTCGCTTGTCTAGAGGCAATATCTCCAACGCAACTGAAGACCACGTGAGGTTATTATTATCGTTAGAAAGTGTACATCCGACTGGTGATTGGACTTTATANACTTTATACATATATATATATATATATCGCTAGTTAGTAGAGGGAATCTGATAAGGTCATTTGTCCAGGAAAAGTGCTTTCTATATGAAATCAAGTGCAGTCAACGAATGTTGACATGCACCCCATTATGCGTTCTAGTGTCCAGCAACCAGTTCGGTGTGCATACATCCCTGATAAATGCTTATCTCTTCGAGCTGGATGGAGATTTGTATGCTGAACTATTAACTTTTAGTTTCTACAGCCAATAACGACCCAGTGTCCTGGTATCGGTTGCTGTTTCGGTCAACCGACAACGAAAGGTTGAACAGCTGCAAGCTTCATATAGATAAACAATGCTGAATACGGATATAACATATGCATTGGGTGGGCCCGACTATTTATGACATTCAGGTATCTGTATCAACCACTGTCTAACTGCTGATCAGGCTATATCTGGGGATCAAGAACCCTACCCTGATCCATATGACCAAGTCTCTTGGTGCAGGTTTCCGTTTTTTGGTCTTTGAATTTCAAATAGAATGTTGAATGTCTCGTCAGACAACTATTTGTTGGATAGATGCGCCGGAGCAACTGATCCCGTGAATGAGTTTAACTAAACAGTAATCTATTATGTTGTTGTCATATGGACATTACTAAGAGCCTGGTCCATAAAACAGTGCAGCGGTGTGGAAATTACTGCCCATGGACAACCGGTGTCCATCCGGTGGAATCATACCTCATTCAAGCGTGATTCACACGCCCAGGCTCGCGATACACACTCTTAATAAAGCAAACATGTGATCGTCGCAATCAGGGTGTCCCGAATTCATCTTGTCTGCCTCCCCGTGGGATCAAGTTTCCATGCTCACCTAGATGAGCAAGCTGTCTATGGCTCATCAATCCGGTTACTAACTATTCGCCCACTCACTTTGATGAAAATGCCCTTGTTAGGATGCGTAAACCTGGTGTAACAATATATGCTCATTCCCGCCGAAAATTGAATTACAGGGATAGATGCAGACCAGCTATTGAATGCTCAAAAGTGTTGTGCCAAACTCAGTAATTTCCGGCGTCCCTTTTCCATCTTAACAAAAGGTTCTACACTATCGTATTTTCATTTTGAATCGAAGGAGAATAAGGTGGATTACTGTTTGATCGGAGAAATACGCAATCCTAAAAATTCCATTCTTAGCCCATCCAATCTGTTTGTTTAGACACTCCGGAATGACCCACATTCTCTTCGTCAACTTTGGGTATGTCCAGTTGACCTTGTTCACTTTTCGTTTAATGCCCTTTTTTGAGGATAAAGATTATGGCATATCCATTGACCCACTGACCCCAGAGGTTGGACAGAGACAATAAAATTACCTGATATTTCTCTAAAACCAAGTATGGCACACTCCATTGCACTTGTTTCCCTCATGATCGTCTCACTGGATTTTTTTCAATTTCCCATGTATCATGGAGTTATTTTCTATCTCCGACGGGATAGCAGAGAACTGTGCGATTTCAATTAGGATAGCCAATAGAGTGAAACATCGGCTACTGTTTTGAAAGGTGGGTGACGTGTATGAATAAGTCGATCTAGCCCTCATGAATTCTACCAAACAACGGTTCAACTATTCAAGTTGATTGTTAATAAACTTGTTTATCACTCGAACCTGGAGATCAAAGCATACACTAAAAAAAATAAAACTGCAACAATCTTTTTTTCAAGCTCTCCTTTCCCTGCTTGCTTGGATATTATTCCAATCAAAAATTTCGCTTTTTGCTAGCAAGCGACTGTTCGTTATTTATTTGTTGTACGGTTACACTCTGTGTTCGTTAATCTGCGTGTCTGTGTGTATGTAGGATACGTAGTTCCACTATACAAGATTATAACGAATTACCAGGAAAAATTCACGGACATTACCTAAAAAGCGGGGAGCATGTTTTCGTTTATCATCTTTAACTTTAAGGAGATCAAAAAACGCCACACGATTGATAGGAGTCCTTTAAGTAACAGCAATAACAACCAAGTTCGTCAAATTATTGTGAACCCGATCTGGAGCTTTCCAAACGGCCACGTCCATTGCCGGTATAAAGTTTGCATATCTCAATCGAAAAATGAGGTTGACTATGTTTGATCGCAAAGATTATACCGACTCACCAGTCGGTAAAATTGAGTCTTTCAGGCAATGCATCCGACTAATTTTCCTCATGTAAAATTAACTGGCATTGTATTTTCTTAGTTCCAAGAAGAAGTTTCACAGTATACCGGCCTGTTTCTCTCTCTCTAGACGTTCTTTGCTGTCCCGTTGTCCAAGGCTAATCGGGATTATTGTGTAACATTTTTGCGACTACTTTGCTATCGCAAAAGATCTCCGCAATTCGATTTTCTACATGCGACTACTTACCCTGTCCATGAATCATGGACAAATTGCAAAACACATTGCTGTTGCAAACACTTGTTTCATTTTTCACCTTTACCCAGCTTTTCCTCTTCATCGAGAACAAGCTCTCAGTAAGCAACGCCTACAGTTTGTGCTCCAAATCCGATTAGTTAAGACGGGTAAATAATAAGAAAATATTGACACCACTGTTCGGACAATTACAGACGAAAATTTCAGCTTCGGAGTAGCCAATCGATTTCGATTATTGTCTCTCCGGTTGTCTAACTTCACTTACACTTGTTCGCTGAGCTGTTTCATGGGCAGCACATCTTCTGTTTTCCACCTAAACTAACTGCAGGGTCGTATGAGGTGGACCCAGCTAAACGTGCTGCATTATAGGCCGAAGTTATAAAGGATTTTCTGTTACATTGGTGGACCGATAAACGGACAAGAAATTGATCACAGTTACATCATAACCGACCGATCAATATCTCCCGTTAACCATTTTTCAAGGAGGAAAAACGTGTACATTTAGGATTTTTGGAGAATGAAAATATAATCATTCAAAAAACAGAGTGTTTCATTTGGTATACATTATGAACAAACCAGTTAATAGCCATTGTCATAAACCATGAGCACCGATCATATGTCCCGAGTTGTCACTGTTTTAGTCTGCTCTCGTTCTCTCCAGTAGCAGTCCGTGTTTTGTAAACTCAAATGATCAACTGGACAATCAAATGTGCCGGATTGGATTAATGTCCAAGGGTCGAAATAGTTTATGCTATAAATCGTTTCAATAATTTCGTAGATTTCTGCACATAAGACCGGAGGTGGTCAAAGAGTGAAAGAATGATTTTAAATCCATTATCAACAAAGGTTTATCGAAACACAGCAAACTCGATCTCCAGATTACAAGGATAGTAGATTGTCTCAACCGGTGGCTGGAGCAAACAAACATGCGGGTCTCTTAATCGACAAGGCCGGTTTGTCTTACCAGAAGCATTAATCAAAATTTGGTGGTTTGTTGTAATGTATAGGAACGGTGAAGAAATCGAACAAAGGCTTTCCGTAAATAATCCTCATTTTAGTTTTCTCGTGGTTATTGTTTTTGTCTTTTAATCTGGTATAGTTGCATTCAACTCACTGCAATATATATCATCTGAAAGAATTTAAAACGTTTCCCCGAAAACTGTGATATATATTCTGTAAATTGAAGTAGATTCAACTGTTACACGGTAAAACTGAGAAGTATAAATTAAAAGAAAACACGCACCTCTTATAGACTGGAAACACACTTCTGAATCATTTATTCGTCAACTATTAAATTCCATGCCTTAATCCCGTCAATTGTTTGTTGCATGCTCGATACCATTAACTATTTTCTAGTGAATGAGTCACTGGATTATTACTGTTCAATTTATCACTCACATACAAAGTTTCTTCGCCATATGCTCGGATTCGGTTGAATCGCTTTCACTGGTGTGTGTTTAAGAAACTTATTCTTGTCTTTGTGTTTCGCATCCGGTTTCTAAGATGCATCGCCTATCAGTTATTTTTCAATTTCGGTTATTCAGAAAAATAACATCTAATTTCTACCAAGTACACTCAACACTGAACGGGATGTCCTAACCTTCTTCAGAGAGTTTACGCTTATCCTCCAGTTAATGTTTTCTATCTGTTTGCGGAATCAGATATGAATAGAAAATTATATTCCTACGTAATCAAGACCGTCTGAGAAAACGCGTTTTGCATTCTGTCTGTGAAATCCGTTTTCGATGCGGCCGTTGTAAATAGTAACATCGGCTTTTGAGCACACATGGAACACGAAGACCTCCGTACGCATTGAAAAATTGTTCACACGCAGGAAAAAAAAACATAATCGATAGACATTTCGTTTGTGTATATGAGTGTCAGCTATGTTGACTGAGTGCCTGAAAATCGACACTGATAAAATCATTAGTACACACCACAACGTAGAAAAAACGGTCGTCCAACTTGAAGAGTGTCTGATAAAAGCTTTCTTTAAGTTGCCTATTTGCCTCAAATAATAGTTAGTAAGGGAATCCTACTATCAGATATGCATTATATTTTGATTATTCAGTGTCGCGTTATAATGCAACTTGTAGTAGAATTCAATTGGACATTAGTTGAAATGTCACATATGCATCGATTAAATTACATTTAGCTCACTATTATGTTTCCTGTAACGTGATTGCCAACATATATGAACTCATGCGAACGAATACATTCATCGTCGCATTAGACAGGGTGGTAGTGGCCAAATGGTGGGTGTTCTCAACAGAGTTCGAATTCAATCACCGCTGCTGCCCAAATTTCATTCCTTCTGTCCTCAGGCAGCGCCTAAACGGCTTCAACCACTTCCGGCCCTCCCCAAAGGTTGATTGTATATCTATCTGTGAAAGAAAGTGAAAACCGAATGCTTATGAATAATGCGTAATCCAATGAATAGTCTGACCCTGACTGAAGTGCTGGGGAACAGAGTATGAAAGATCGGGATGGATATGCAAAAGGGATAGCACTATAAAGTACTTGAATTGAGAAACCATGTTTGGGCAGTCTGTCACGCGTAATTACCCTGCATTTGAACGCGTGCATACTGCAGTTCAAGGGGTCTATAATTTACCACCAGAAACAGAAACTTGGTCCAGGAAGGGTTACGATCAACACCATTCACCCAATACATTTGTTACCAAAGTAAAGCCAATGTGATAAGCCATTCAAGCTATTTGCACATTTGGGGATGGTAATTTTGAATACCTAGCGCCTCGGCGTATTTCAGAAGCCTGGTATTGTTTGTGTTGTAGAGAATTATAAATTCGTCTGTCCACATGACACGGTGCTTCACTGCGACTCGTTTTGTGTTACTGATGATGTCATACTTCTAAAAGTTTCACTTATTTGTTTCTAAAGTCAAACCGAGATACGGTTACTCGATACCGCAGGTGCTCCTCCATTCTACCGATGTAGATACCCCAGCATCCATAACGATATAGATATGTTGACTAGTTTCATATACTACTTAAAGTTAAACCATTTTTCGATATGGCATGCTACTTGAATCGTAAATCAATATGTTAAAACATCGGGGATTGTCAGTGTTATTGTTGGTTTTTCAGTCTAGCATTGAGTAAATGAGTGAACTGGTAGTATTTGTTTGCTTCCTGTAAGTTTGTCTGGTGAACATCAGACAGCTTGTAGAAAAATTGAACTCGCCAGCATTCCCGCTCTTGATATACGGGAGGGTGGCGGATATGTGGTAAAATCTGTTCAGGTTTTTCACCTTTTCTTGTAAAAAACAGTCGGGCAAGTAAGTCGTTTGTTTGCCTCTTTCTCTGTCCGTTTCGGTCATCGGTCAAAGTTGCAGCGACCTCGATTTAGATGAATGAAACACCAAAGGTCCTAATCAGAGTATGATCAGGAGGAGGCCTATAGACATCCGCATAACCAATGAAACTGTGCTTGCTCGTATGTTACATCTGAACACGAGTTAGTACCAGTTTTCGCCCTGTTATCAGATTTACCATAGTCACTCGAACTCTAAATAGAAGGAGATATAATATGCCATAATTATCTTGAGTGGGTGATTTTAATTATTTCTATGGGGAAAGCTAATTCCCTCAAATTAGGGTTTCCCAGGCCTACCTCCACGCTCTGTTTGACCATACTTTCGTCCAAATTTGTTATCCCCAAATGTAGTGGTGAATGTGTCAGAACTAAATAAAAGCTACACTTGAAATCATATGCAGTTGCGAATATGAAGCGCATTATTCGCACACGTCCAGTCATGTGATATTTTTTGTTTATACTGGTGTTGTACCTAGTTTCCATGGAGCTCAGTCTGTCTATTGTGTCGCTTCTGTCTGACAACTCCCCTGTTTGGAATATTTTATGCTTCTTTTTGAAATCTTCTGACATTCCAAACCTCCTCTTTTCATTTATCTCATGCTTATAGACCGTGGGAGGGTTTCACTGTGAAAACTGCGTGCATCCCTATCTCACATCTCATCTACCCATCATTAATTTGTATCCTCATCCTCTTATTCAATCACGTGTGAAATCGTTGTCTCACTAACGCGGTTTCCGTGAAAATATCTTTGCCGTCTTTTTCTAAATCACTAGTTCTTTGAACTATTTGTCAGTGTTTCAAAATTGAATCCTCCAGATATGATATGGTTAAACATGTCACGAATCATAACTGGGATCAACGAATATCTTCCAGTTCAGATCACGGGTAGAGATCATGACTGGTCGCGGCAATTTCACTAATGGAAATATGTGGCGATCGACCGAGCCTGATGACCCGTATGATGCTCCATCATATTAATCCAAAATCATCTTCAGTGTATTACCTTAGATCAAGTGTTTTATGAGATCTGAAAACTTTGCGATATGTACATGGATATGTCCCTTTGGTGTTTGTCCATTTCAAATCTCTATGCTTCTATATTCCGTTGGGGAAGAAATTGAAAGATTCTCTTTTAATTTTACCCTATAACCTTGGGGCTCTTGCGAATGTTTAGCCAAATCCGCTTATTCAATAGATCGTAAAGCAACGTATGAAATTCCGATTGCTCGAAGACCAATTGCGAATGTTTACGATCAAACGCTGTATGGGAGAAATTAAATTACTTTCTTTTTTGCTAATTCTAATGTAAGCTTACCGACAATCTTTAAGTTGACCTAATGGGAAATAAAAATGTCCAATCAGTGCAGACCGATGTGTTGCGCCATTTTCCGATGTTAGCCCTCAAAATCAATAACAAAGCCGATTGAAAGTGTCGAGATCACAAACCAAACTTGGCTTAATCGCTGGAGAGGATTTGCCGCAGGATAACATTGCTAGTTAGAAAGGTGTTCCGATCCATATGAGGGTTCTAGACTACACATCTAAGTGACGCTTTTGGGCTGGCCCAGTGACATCGACATGTACCCAATTCGAATTTTTATCTCTTGCTTCCATTCAAAACACTAACCTTTCGTTTATTTACTTCTGGAATCCCTGCTGAGATTTCACCGTTACGAACAGTATTCGCCAAACTGTCGTAATGACTTTTGCACTTCGTCTGGTGAAGAAGTGCTTACAATCTGATCGACAAGCTTAAAAGATACCTAAACGTCAAAGTTTTTGTTCATCACTTAATTCGGTCGATAAACTTCTGTGGTTCACATACCATCCTTTTCTGTTCAATTTAAAATACCTACTTGGTGGCCAGTGCAGACCGTTTACCGTACCTGCACTATTTGCAGAGTCCCGTCCTAATGTGTACAGTGTTTCTTCGTGGATTTATGTATTTTAATAAATGCCGCTCCTTTGGTGCAGCATTTAAGTAGTATTTTCGCAATGCACACCCTGGTTTTACTCGAAAATCTACAAAAATTACCGGGAACGCTCTACTAATTTTGTGAGCGCATTGAATGTCACCCGTGGCCTCGTATCATTGTGAATGTGTCCATTCATTCATCGCTCCTCGTTTGTTTTTCGCTCCTCCCTCGTCCCCTTTCGTCAGGGCCTTCATTCGTATCCGGATTATGGATGACAACGATTATGAGAAACATGAGTATTTCTTCATTCAACTGGGTGAACCGGTTCTGGTCGACAAAGACGGTAAGTTTGTCCTGTTGTGGATACACTGCTCTTTTGATTTGTTTGATGAACCTATTCCTATTCCACCTGATGCAATTCATTCATCTCCAGTAAACACCCTACT